AGTATGCACAGCGTGTACAGTATGTACGGTATGTGCATACACGCGTGCATATTTCTACTTCGCTACTTGCATGCAATGTATAATATGAGCAATCATTCAGTTGTGCTATTTCACAATTCACGCTTTTATTTGTTTTCGTGCATCTAGATCCTGCGTCTTGACAGCCGGATCAACCACCTTATTGAACCCCATCTCAAGGCCTTGACATAGGATTCAGCCATGGCGTAGTAGGGAAGCCTTGTGACATCGAAAAACGGAACTAAACCAAAGACTGCTGTTGAACGAAACACTGTTTGAAATCTGTTGAAAACCCTGCCATCCACTGAGTCGAGTCGAGTTCGTTCTGAGTGGAGCGGCCCAGCATCTCGTGGGTCCATCAGGTCTCCAGTCACATTCATTCGTTCTGCTCTGAGATACAATTTCAGCCATCTCAACATCTCGTACCTCGGACTCCACTGCAAGAATGTCAGAGATCTGATCTGCTGACTCAAGTTCATTTCAAAGGCTCGAGTTCTACCATGAGACATGTCACATGGTCTTAGTCTTGGAGTTCCGAGAACTTGTCGAGGTTGCCATCACTAGTTTGAGTAGTTTGACATATTTCTGCATTGCTGTTGGAATCCGCTCTATGTGAATCTGTATAACCTCTATATTTGAAGCTTAGGAATAAGCGTTGCTTTCAGGGAGCGTGTGTTGGACGGCTGCCACTGTTCTCAAGATGATCCAGTGGAGCTGCTAGGTGTGTAGGGCGGGGCCATGACCAGACTTGTGTTTGCCGCCTTGCTTTTGACTACTGGCAGCTCTGGATGGTGGGGATCCAATTCTACCGCACCGGGGCCGGATGGGCCGTGGCGACAGTGGGCAAGAACCAAATCACCTTTGACGGTCCGCTACCTGGATGATGCCATGGAGACCCTGGACGGGGTGAGAACTACCGCCACAAGTTGGACGCCTACCAATTAGGACATTGGTTTGTGGTCTCTATGTGATGGCATCTTAGCTCTGGCTGGATGGGGCTTATTTGGAGCCGCTTGGGGTGACGTGAGAAACGGGTGCCAACGGCTAGCTCAGATCGCCATCGTGCTCGGTTTGTGCATTGTGGCTCACTATGTTGGGGCAATTTGTTGGCCAATCGTTTCCTTATGTTTCCTTGATCATCGCCATTGCTATGACTTTGATATGGGTGGTTCGGAAAGCTGTCAGAATAGCTGGACGGACATGCATCACCTGCAGAAGTTTCTTGGAGGAACACCGGAAGCCGTGGATGCAGAATTTTGCGGTCCAGGAACGGGAAAGACCCCTGAGACTGCTGAACTACGACGTTTCAAGGCTTCTGGGACCCAGGATAAATGGGTAGTCCTGAAACGTGGACAAGGAGTTGCGGTTTTCCGACTGGGAAGTGAAGCTCACACTATCTGATCAAGTGGTTTGCACGCTTCCATTGAACCCGATACCTTGAGGGGCTCGACCAGCCTCTTGGAGGAACTTCGAGGCCGTGACAGAGTTCATTTGCGCAGGAAGGAGTCGTGTCCAGAGGATGGGCAACACTTCAAGATGTATGGCCTGGCACGCAAGTATGACCCGAGAAGTTCGAGCTTGCGGTGGCCGCTCAAGGAGCTCGTGAAGCTGGAGGCTTCCTATGGAAGTGGGCATAGGCCGGGGGTCAAGCCGTGAAGTCACGCCTCGCTGATTCTGGTTCGGAGTTGGAATCGGAGCAGCAGATCTGCAACGCCCACCATGTGAGGTGGTCAACCGAAGAGGGTGACATCAGCTTGAGCGTAGGGCCCTGCCCTAAACCGCCAAAGAGCAGGTGACACTTTTGTATAAGGATGAATTCGATCCTGGCATGGTAGGAAATTGCTGTCCCACACACGCTTCCAAGTATGTGACACAGCGTTACCTGTTGAAGTGTAGCCATAGTGGTTCTTCAACTTTAGGCATGCATGTGTGCTGGCAGCACGAGCCAGAGAATCCGAGTAAACGTTCCAGATCACAATCCCGAGACCGTCGAGGGAGAAGTGGCGATCACGGACTTCACGAACGTGATGGAGAACCTGGAGATGGTCCTTCTGCAGGTCGTGATCCTGGCTACCAGCTGCTGTTGGATGAGCTCAGAGAGATCAGAGGCAGCATGCCCAAAGAGAAGGATGCGCGAGAAGAGGAGCCTCCTAGGAGGAAGAGATTGGCATCTAGTCATCAGGGATGACACCCAAGTCCTCGGTTCACCGGAGTTTGGCAAGGTTGGGCATGTTGGACTCCATTGGTGATTGGAGCACCTTCCATCTTTGGCAAAGGAGACAGACGGGCAGGGGCGGGGACAGGTTCAACCACCGATCCTATGTCCGTCCTAGCTCAAGCAATCCAGTCCCAAACCGCCGAGATCGATTCGTTGGTGAAAGCAAAAGCCAATCAGAGCAGCCACCCACAAGGTTCCGTCAAGGGTTTTGCCGGTCCATATTGGGGCTCGATGGAAAAGCATTGTCTTGGAGCGGCCAACTTCATCCACTACACAGATGCTGAGCTTGACGCCTTCGCCACCGAACGTCAAGTAAAAGGAGGAGTGGAGCAGAAACCGACGCCGCCTTCAAAACTTGAAGACTGGGTGGCACGGGTGAAGCGGCAGAATGAGGTCTGGAGGCTGCTTTATGGAAAGGAGTGGAAAGATGTTCGAGAACATTGCGCAGACACCTTGGCTGGGTGGCATCAAGAATGTCCGCACAAGCTGCCCTTACAGGTGGTGACGGATGCATGGAAAGAATTGCATTGGCGCTTCATGGAAGAGATCAAGGAGTTGATCGGGGGGTGAAGAGGGTTAGTAAGCGGGAAAGCATGAGCCTGCAAGAGCTTCGCTTCTACGCTCTGCTCCCAGGACCGGACCAGAGGCATGGTTCAAGACTGAGCTCGAGCCCAGGATCGAGAGGCGTCAGGAGAGGACGTAATGGGGGCTCACTTGGGATGGGGGGACGTCGAGATCGAAGGCATCCAGCTGGAGGAGATCCTGTACCAGGCGGAGGAGGAGGAGATTCGGAAGCTGTAGGAAAAACAGCAGAGGCGCTTTTGGGCCCAAAAGCTTGCTGGATCGAGCACTGGTGGGCAAAAAATGGGGACATAGGCTTCCATGAAGCCCAAGAAGGGAGCGGTAGGGCGGGCACGAGCGGGCAAGCGTGGCCCGCAGGCATCGCGGGCCGAGCGGGCCCTTCGCGGGCCGTTCACGGGCCCGCGCGCTCTGCGGGCCCGTGGGCCTTCGCGGGCCCGTGGGCCTTCGCGGGCCCGCGGGCCCGAGGGTCTTCAGGTCAGCATTTTATCGTCTATATCTTCTTGCATTCTGTCTGGCATCTGTGTCTAGCAAATCTTTTCCGGTATTTATTCTGGCAATCCAACAAATATTTTCAAGTATATTCTGGCATAAACTGACATAGGCGGACCCGCGCGTTCTATCTGGCATATCTTTTTGGCATGCTATCTGGCATATGTGCCTATCTGGCATAACTTCTGACAATTCAAAGCTGCCATGCTATCCGGCATCTCTTTTGGAATTCTTTCTGGCATACGTGCCTATTGTGTCTTCTCACTTTCATTGTGGCATTCTATCTCACCCAGGCGCTTGTGATCCAGGTCCGGCGGGCACCACTCTGATCCGGGTTTTGCGGTTGAGGTCAGGCGCGGCGAGGAGGACAAGAAGGAGGAGAGGAGTGGCTGACATAGAATCTCACAACCCGGAACATGCAGGTGAAGGGACAACACTAACAAAGTGAAAGAAGCACATGGAAGCACGATACAGGCAGCACAGTCCCTGTCCGCTATGGTGTTTTATTCAATCAAAGGGCATGGTCACGCGGTATGAAGTTCCAAAGATTCAAAAAATGAGTGAACTTAAATCATCTCAACCTCTCCGTGTGGACTGAACCCTTGCCTATTGCTCCGCCCCCGATAGCCCAAGACTAGCGCGGGCCCGCGGGCCCGCGGGCCTCCGCGGGCCCGGGCACACGGCACGGTGGACCATAGCCAAAATGGGACGCTGCTTTGCTGGTCCTACCTCACCCATCAAGGATGCTTGGTGGCGAACTGCCAAAGGGCCCATGAGGGCTTGAAAGGTACATTCGAGCAGTTGGACCCATGTGTTCAAATGCAACCCCTCAAACGCGGTGGTCCGCGACGCATGAAGCAGGAGACGAAGGACACTCTGGACCAGAAGATCAAGCAGCTTCGATCGAGCGTCCAGGCTGACAAGGCAGATCAAGGCAGATAAGATCTCCAAACCCAAGAGAAAAGCCGGAGAGGGCCCAACAGAGAGGCAAAACGATCAGGCCCGATCGGCAGAAGAGAAGGAGAGCACCAGAAAGGCAGGAGGCCGTCAAACCAATGTTCGGTTCTGGGATGTACCGGAGGAGTTTGAGGCGGTGGACTACACCAAGCAGGAGGGCTTGAGAGACCTTCTCTGGCCGAAAGAAACGGTTAACATCAAGGTAGACCTTACAACAACGAGGAGATCGAGCTTCCTGACGCTGCCGGCACTTTCGGCATTGCAGGAGGCCTCGGACGACTTGTACGCCTGGGCAGCAGCTCGTGTGGCGCGGGATCCAACGCTTCGGAAGCTGCCGGCCTCTTGCAAAAAACACCGCGACCAAAAGCGGGGGAGAATGTCAGAATGGCTGTCCGAGATACCCTTTGGGTTCAACATGAACCAGGGCAAGGTGGCTTTGAGCTGGATGGGCAAACCTGGCGAACTTGGGACTACATCGAGGCGTGACCATGGATGAGGAGCTGTGCTGGGGCTCAATGAGCCTGGTGAAGAAAAACGGCAGTGTGTCACAAAGACAATGGCCGCAGGGGTCCTCTGGAGAAGATTGGGTCGGCGCCCCACCTTGGACGAGGTCAATGAGGAGGATCGAAGGGCAAGCAGGAAGCCAAGGCGCTTAGGAGTGACGCCTGGCATGCTGGTGCAGATTGGGAACCAGTTCCTGAACACCCCGGGCACCTTTGGCGAGGTCAAGGTTGATGCGATGATGGTTCAGGCTGCGTTGCTCACTGCATGGTTCTTCATGATGCGGGCTTCAGAGTTTTGTGATTCCAGCGGCCTCAACCTGGAGGGTGTTCTTCGTGGAGTGGATGTGAAGCTGACCAAAGACGGAGAGCCGGCAGAGTTTGGGTGCGCCGACGAGGTCACGGTGCAGTTTCGGAAGACAAAGGCTGATCAAGAGGCCTTTGGATCGTGCAAGGCGATGGGTTTTCCTATGCCCGGTCAAAGCCATGGACTATACCGTATTGTATGTCCGGACAGATTCCAGGGCATGGATGCGGAACGTCCGTTGTTCGTGTGGGGAAATGGCTCGATGCTGAGGAGGACGGAGGTGCAGTTCTTGCTGCAGAAGGCAGCAAAGGCAGAGGGCTTGCCATCGGAACGGTTTTTGTCCCACTCACTGAGAATTGGAGGAGCCAGCGCTCTGTACCAGGTGTTCGGAAACATTGAACTGGTGAAAAGAATGGGCCGTTGGTCATCAAGCACTGTGCAAAGATATCTCTTCGATGGAGGGGATGTGGTGAAGCAGCTTTCAGTAAAGATGGCAGACCTGGACAGGAGAATCCACTATACTTGAGTTTGTCTTTGTGTTCGGCATGAAAAGGCAAAGCTTGGTGGCAAAGCCTGGGGGGGTTGTGCGGCTGAGGGGCCGTATGCCACCCTAGTGTGCAGCACAGTGCACGTTGCCGCCACGTGAAAAAAGAGCTGAGCCAGAGTGAATGCTGAACACCGCATGTGCACTTAAAGCATAAAATATAAATATATTATATTATGATATATTTATATAAGCTCTATATATACATATATATATAGGTATAAGCTCTATATATAATCTGTTTCCAAATAGGCCGAATCTGTATCCCCTATGTCACCCCGTCCCTGTGTCCGTCTGGCGAGGCTCCGATTTCCAATGTGTTCCCAGGCTTTGATGACACCTTTGATCCAACATGGCGCAGCAAACCGTGGCAAACCGTGGCAAAGTGAAGGTAAATTTGGCAGAGTAAATGTGAAGCATGTGTGAAACAGTGTGAAATTCAGTGTGAAACAGCTACTGCAAGAAACTTGGTCACTCTCACGTCTGTAGAGCCTGCATCAAATCTTGTGCAACTTGAAACATCCTCTACTCTGACTTCACCAGGGCACTTGCAAAGCTTCTTGCATCAGGTTTGAGGCCAAGATTTGACATCTCTCGCAAATGCCGAATTGCCTGCCACAAAAAAATAACTCTGCAGACTGTGCATGTTCCTGTCGGCTTTGCAAGAGGTATCTCGTTTGCTGATGTAAATTCAACCATCCTATCCTATCCTATCCTCGCAAATAGATGTTGCCACTCGGATGGTTGCACTGGGCATATGCGGCATATTGGCGGATCTGCCACCAGCTTTGGTGTGTCACTCGGTACTTGAAATCGTATTGGGGAGGACATCTCACTTCAGGCATAGGCGAAAAAGAACACGCACGGCAGTTAGACAGTAGCCGCAATAGCCCCTTCCAAAGGCAGTCAAAACAGATTGAAGTGGAATGGGACTTTGAGGTGCTTGTCTGGGTTGAAAGTTGATTCTGCACTGTGATATATAGAATGTCCATGAATATCAAATGAATATCCCATGTTTTGCAGTGCGAATTCAAATTGGAAAACATCTGTGAATTGTAGAGTTTTTGCACCCACCTCTGCAGATCTTCCTGCTTTCGCGAAAGCCTCTATGAGACAGTTCATCTCAAAGCGACTAGTGGCCTTGCAGCTCCCAACAGCTCCCAAAATGAGCCATGACTGTCATAGCTGTCATAGATGTCACACCTTTGAGACTCGTGTGTGCTTTTGCTATCTTTTGCTATCTTGGCGAGGGCTGCGTCACTTTCTGTTTCTACGATGTTCTAAAGGTGTTCCAAGCAAACAGTGTCGATGTTTGCTCCGCCTTGCCATAGGCCTCCTTCTGCCAATCAATCCACCAGCGCGCGGCACTATGATGTCCAGTCGCGCCAAAGGCCAGGATCAACAACTGTCAGAGTTCAAAAAGTTCAAGCAATGAAGCAATGGGGAGTGTGCGATTTAGTATGTCAACATACTTCAACATACTTCAACAGGATCTTATGGATATCTTTTTGCGTATCAAGGAGGTGTAGTCCTGGTTTAGATTTGAGCAAACCACACACTACAGTCACTACACCAGTAAATATTGACCTCGTTGCACAACATTAGCACCAACGGGCTGTCCTTTTGGCATCAAGAGGAGAGCTCTCTGCGTCACAAGCAAAGCAGAGGCGAAAAAAAATGGAAGAGCTGTGCAGTGTGAACAACCCGAGTCGACTGTGGCATTTTGCGCAAGAAAAAAGTATGTTACCCTCATTTTTCTGTTGGATCCACCATTGCAGGTAAATTTCATCCTATATATCGTTGAGGCCAAATAGGCTCAGTTTCTAGATGTTGCAACACCACGTACCCTTTGAATCAAAGGAAAAAGAAAAGCTGCGCATTCACTGTGCAGCATGGATAGCGCTTCGACGGAGAGGCAGAAAGAATTGAAAACATCAGACCACCAGTCTGAAGGACGACTAAGGCTAACTAAGGATCATGAAGTGACACCGAAGGTGAAGGAATGCAGGACAATGAAGGACAATGAAGGACAATGAAGGACAATGAAGGAGATGAACCTCATTTGAAAAGCAGGTGTGTGAGGACTGTTGGAGTGGACTAGGGAAAAGCAAAGACTATTTAAATTTAAATGCTTTTGAGCACAATTACTACCAATCAAGGGGGGAGAGAGAGAGAGAGAGAGATCATTAAGCAGTGTCCCAACATCGAGCAAATAGATCCTGAAAATATCCAGATTAAATGTTTGGAAACATGGTGCATACGGTACATATCGGACAAGATGTGAAGCGTGTCCAAATCAAGCTTCTTCATTCAACTTATTCAACTTATTCCTCAAAGTCATCTCATCTGCCTTGTAGGTATGTCTGCTTGGCACCATATCGTTGAGCAGCATCTCCCAGGCCCAGCCCCTCGGGGACAGATGGACAAATGAGCCATTGAAAACACCCCCTATCCCATCTCACAATATCTCACAAAACTAGTTGGTTGATAGGTATCCCTCTTCTGGGTCATAATCCCTAATAAACCAGTTGTATACTTGTAGAACCCCCTATAGTGACCAATCAATAATGGTATCTTTAGTGGCTCAAGTTGTAAGAAGGTAACGAGCTTCAAAGCACTTCAACTCTTCAACGCCTCTTCGAATCAACAAAGACCGACGTCGCAAAAAACATTCAACAATTTGCGAAGAAATTATCACGGAAATGGTCAATTTCAGTCAAATTGGAAATCTTAAGACCAACAGGGAGGAACAATCAGAAACAGAAAGATCAGAAAGATCAGAAAGATCAGAAAGATCAGAAAGATCAGAAAGAAAGACCAAAAGGATTCAAAAGGATGCAAAGATATGCAAAGGGCTTCACTCTGACGTTGAGGACTGTTGAGGAGTCAAGCACCGCTGGGGCTTCCGCTTGGCACGCTTGGCATATTCCTTTCGCTGAATCATCAGTGGATAGCGGACTTCTTGGCGTGCTCGTTGAGCAAATACCTGAAGCAAATGAGAATGCAAAAGACAAAAGAATGAACGAAAATGCTGTGAGATAGACAAATAAACGAGCGCTCAGTTCAGAAACCAGTCAAGACTTTGTCAGGGGGACTTCACTGCTGCCCTCGGTAAACACAGCTAGGAGTTTGCCAACCTCCTTTGTTTGTTCAAACGGGTTTCGTACACATATTATGTACCTGTACACTGCAAGATGCAAGAAAGCAAATGAAAACAAAACATAAAAAGATCAAGAAAGCACAAGTGTCACCGGAGTTAACTGTTCTTGGCGCACCTGCACTATCCTGTTCAGCTCCTGCAACCCAGCAAAATTGATGCAAATTGTCTATCCCGCTTTAAGCTTACCCGGCTTACCCGGCTTACCCGGCTTACCCTTGCACGAGACTTTCTTGCGTCCGCCCTTTCCTGATCTATTCCAAAGCTTGATTGTGAACACCAGAGACAGCATTGCAGCTGGAACATCATGGAACCACAGCTCTGCGCAAAAAATGTATGAACAAATTATGAACAAATTGTGAACAAATGCGCGGCGCTATTAATGCATGTCACCGGAACATGAAACGACTCTGACACCACTGCATTGGTGAGATCAGAACGGCACATGTCCGGAACCAAGGGTATATCAAAGGTATTGCAGTGGGCAACTTGAATGCCTTCCAAAATAACTTCCACATTGCCTTCTATAACCAGCTCATTCTCTGGCATTTTCTGATGCGTTGATATGCGTTGAGTGTAAAGCAGCGGAGAGATGATTTCGCCTCTGCGCATCAGAATACAGCTGAGAAAAATGAGAAAAGTAATACCAAAAATGATCGAGATTCCAAGAGCAAAACCGCAGACATATCTTGGCCAATTGGCCAATCCCCTCCTCCACATCTGGAACACGTCCCTCAATCAGTTCTCGTCGCAGCAATTCCTCCCTCTTTGTGGGTCTTGCCACCTGCCAAGGCCAAAATGAAGTCCAAAGGAGTCCAAAGGAGTCCAAAGGAGTCCAAAGGAGTCCAAGGGAGCCAAATCAGATATAAAGATGTGTAAAGATATGTAAAAATGTGCAAAGTATATAAAGAGATCTAAAGGGATCAAAAGCTTGAACAAACTGTGTGTACTTTGAATATCTTTGAGATAGATTGAATGATTTGAATGATTTGAATGATTGAATTTTGTTTATTTTTTCTGTTTGAGAAAAAGCTGCACGGTGCTGGCCTGGCCCGGGATCTGCCTCGAAGGTCTGCTCTTCAGCAGCCGTCGGATCTCGCCCCAGGTCCGGACCTTTTAACCGAGGAAAAGCAGAACGAAAAAGGACACAGCCCATCTCCGAAATCGCCGAGAGACAAAACGCAAAGGGACACAAATCCAAAAAACGCATAAGAAAATAATGAAAATATAAGAAGCACATCCAAAACAAATGACATAGACTGACATAGATGTGGCTGTGGCGTGACGTTCAAATGACATCGAAATAGATGTGGGTATGAAGTCTTGATAGAACGAAGTAGAACAAGTGATGCGTTCGGAGCATTGGCAGTTTTTTGTTGAGCATCGGTCATCCGAGGCATCCGAGTCTCTCTGCGTCAATGACTAAGGTGGGCACAAGAAAGGGGTGCTTGCCGTAGCCTCTGCCATACCTGACAGACTTTCAAACTGCAAACATTAGCGGTCGAGCAAGAAGGCAAAATGATGCGACATGCCTTTGACATGCTTCTGATCCCCCGAAGCATCCGTTGAGAGTTTTGACCTGTTTCAAGCGTTTCAACACGTTTCAAAGCATTTCACGGCTCTCCGGCTTTGAGCCTCACTTTTTGCTGCACAATTCGTTCAGTAGCGCGGTACCTCGACAAACCGAAATCGAAAATCATGCAGCTTTCATGAATGTACTCATTCTAAATCAGACAAGGTCACTTCAGCTCAGATTCTGGTTCCCAAACTCAAAGTTGTCATTCATGTGTCATGCGTATGTCATTCCTACGTTCTGTACGTTCAAGTTCAAATCTTGTTTTTATCTTGCGACTTCTTTCACGTGTTCGTTCATCCTTATGTTAAGCTAAGGCACGGCTGAACCTCAGACAGCCCCAAGCGCGCGGCCAAGTGCACTGGCTGACGCAAGAAACATCGAACTAAAAACACATCATAACAATCTAATTTACTTAGGACACTAAAATATAAATGATAAGAATAATATTTAGAGGAACTTGGACATTGACGAACGATGTTGTAAACATCTGTATGAAAATGCCAAAGAATGAAGAATGAAATCAGTCCAGAGAAAGCAACGAATGAAAGGCAAAAGTGCTGCCGGTTCTTCAGTTGCAATGTGAAAACACATGTCTCAATGAAAACACATTTGCCGGCAAGAGGTGTCTCAACATGGGAAGCTCTTGAATTTCAAAGTGCACACCGTGCACACCCCGAATCACACGTCTCTGGGCAACCCACTACCCGAGAGATGGGAGCCTCGCTGGAAAGTTCAAATTAAGCGACGGCACTGCAACCGCAATCTTCCCTCGTGCTATCTTGGATGCTACTCATCGAAAAGTCCAAAACCAAGCGATTTTTAACAACATGATACAAAATGCAACACAAACTCAGTACATGTCAAAAATCAGTCAATTCTTGTACCAATTTTGCTTGCCAAATCATATGACAATTCAGCCAACTACTTCATGGGTCAACATGTGTCAACATGGGTCAACTCAACAACTGCGCTCCCCAATTCTCAGCCTCTTTTGGAATTTGGACACTCCCAGGAAACACCGGTTTCCTGAAACAAACATGTAAAGTTGCAGCGACATGAGGTTGAGAATCGTTGAGAACGGCTAACATTCAACTTTGTAGCTACTTTGAATTACTTGGAGCCACTGCAAAAGCAGGCTTGACAGTCAAGTCTAGTTGAGTCTCAGGATTTGTCTTGATGAACCTCTTTCTCTTGCAATCTCTCTTGCAATCTCTCTTGCAATCTCTTGCACGTTCGATGTTTGTATCTCTCCAAGTTCGGAAATAAAGACAGGATTGGAACATATTGAAGTTTTTATATAATCGTGGCAATGTGAGCTGTTCATGAAACTGCGCAAGATTGTGGTCGCAGCTCCAAATTCATTACATGTGAGAAAACTATAGAAAACTGAGACTTTCTGCATCTTTCTGCCATGTGGCAGTTCTGAACTCTTGGAATTCTGCAGCACAGCGGGCGGGGCTGTGGCAGCAAGGCTGGATGAAGCCACTGCCAGAACCAACAGAGCCTGAGTCGCAAAACGTCGCAGCGAATTTGCACCTGCAACTTGTCTCAACTTGTGGACTCTTCCATTGGTTGTAGGTCAATTGTAGGTGAACTCGTTGCACTGTTTGGCTTTTAAAAACTCACCCAACCTTTGCCGATCAGCAAATGTCATTACACATCGTGAATTCCGAGCTACTGCGCCCGCTATGGCCTTCCACCTCAACAGGAAACCAGAGGCCATGGTTACAATAGGAATGCGGCAAGAAATTCATGGCATGTGTGGAACATGGATTGATGATTGATGGTTCCAAAATCGTCTGAAGGATGTCTGTTCAACCGTGAATCTGACACAAAACACTGTAGATCGCTGTAGCAGATAGTATATATTCAAAAGATATCTTTGAATATATACTGTTTATATACTTAATATACTATTATTCATAGTATGTCGATTTATTTTCATTTCTTTGATTTCGTGGAAGCTGGTGCCTGGGAGGCCATCTTTCCGACCTTGCAGAGAAACAATGCGTCGCAAGGTGAAGGCATGGGTAGTCTGGATAACCTCCGGTGGTAACCTCCGGTAAACTCAAGGTGAAACCTCACCAGATTCAACCGGTTCAACCGGTTCAACCAGTTCAGTCCCTTCGTTTCTTTCTGAAAGTTTCTAAAGCTCTACAATCTCTGGGTCTCCAAAGGTCCAAATCGTATCCTTTGTGACGAAACAAAACATGCATTTTTTGCCTCTAAGGATTCGGATAATGCTCTTGCTCCGGGGGCCAACTAAGAAAGAACAAAATGGTAAAATGTTTTGTTCGTTCACCAAATTTGTCACTTTCCCGGCCTCATCTCCACACAGTTCTCGACATTTCGAGCTAAGCTTTGAGCCAGAGAAGCGAAAGACGTAACAAAAGTGGAAAAGGTTTAACATGTATTGTTGTTTTAGATGCCGTGTCTCAGAGGCTCGCGACTGCTGTCACATTTTGAGTATGAGTATTAAGGGGGTTGGGTGAGGTGGGGGGAGTGGGGTGGGCTGGGCCAATAACGTGCTTTGCTGCACGTTCTCACATAATGCTTCGCTGCTGTGCGTTCTGTTGCACTTACACTTAGGTCTTAGGTGATGATGACGACGATGAAGATGAAGATAAAGATAAAGATGAAGATGAACAGAAGAAGAAGAAGAAAAAGCAGAAGATGATGATGAGACGATGACGATGACGATGACAGTGACGACGACGACGACGATGATGATGATGATGAAGATGAAGATTGATGAAGATTGATGAAAATGATGAAAATGATGATGGTGATGATGATGATGGTGATGATGATGATTATTATTATTATTATGAAAATGAGGATTACGATGACGATGAGGATGAGGATCACGATGACAATGAAGATGAGGATGATGATGCTGCTGATGATGCTGCTGATGATGAAGATTGATGATGATGATGATGAGGAGGATGATGATGATGATGATGAAGATTGATGATGATGATGATGAAGATGATGATGATGATGATGATGATGATGATGATGATGATGATGATGATGATGATGATGATGAAGATTGATGAAGATTGATGAAGATTGATGAAGATTGATGAAGATTGATGAAGATTGATGAAGATTGATGAAGATTGATGAAGATTGATGAAGATTGATGAAGATTGATGAAGATTGATGAAGATTGATGAAGATTGATGAAAATTGATGAAGATTGATGAAGATTGATGAAGATTGATGAAGATTGATGAATATTGATGAATATTGATGAATATTGATGAAGATGATGATGCTGATGATGATGATGATGATGATGATGATGATGATGATGATGAACATGTTGATGATGAACATGTTGATGATGAACATGTTGATGAAACCAAAATTTCGTTTTTCTCTTTCTCATTTCCCACCCATAGAATGTTTGAAAAGTGACAACAGTCGCAAGCCTTTCAGACACCCGGCACCATGTTTTACGTATATATAAATCATATATATATATGTATATTATGCACATATTTTATTGCATGTTGTATTATGCTGTTGTCATCTTTTATCGAAGATCCAAACCACCCGCAACTATTGCTGTGTACTTTGCTTTCTTTCTGTGAAAGCTATCTGACCTGTCCAAACTCAACTTCAACTCTACCATCTCTAAGGAATGGAGCTGACAGAGGCACCTTCTTGATCATCTTTGCCAACTCTTCCGATGCCACCTCAAACATCCAGACTGCACAACGTCCACTTGACGCGAACCAACTGACTGCTACGGACTGCTACGGACTGCTACGGACTGTTGCGATACGCTACGATACGTTACGTTACCTATTTTGATCCCTATTTCTTCGGGAAACGAGGCATAACAACGCGCCACGGCCTCCAGCTTCATGTCGCTACGCTGCTCGGTTTCTCGGAGCGCAACCTGCACATGGTGCCAGTAAAATGAGCACAGGCACCGTGGGAATTGGATGATTGTAAGTGTCACAGTAAGTGTCACAGTAAGACATGTGATGAAAAAAATATTTAAAAAAATCATTGTAATTACATGTGCTTACTACACAATGACATGTGATGAAATAAGTCATCTAGCTGACCTGTTTCCAACCAGACTGATGAGAATGTACTCAGAGTGGGGTGGGACCGCAACGGAAACATGTTAGGTTTTGAAGATTTTAAGGAACTAAGTGGGGAATATCGAACTTGTGTGAGGAACTAGGAATTACATTGACAACGCTAGGAAAGACAACGAAGGTCTATACATTCACTTGCTCACGGATATCTTTCCGTAGACTCGACGGATCTCAAAGAAGCGGGGAGGCAAAGTGCGAAGTCACTGTGGAGGTACGAGCAAGACAAATCAGTAGGTACAAGCGACCTCCCCATGGGTGCATCCATGTGCATCTGCCAGGTCAAATCACCATTACTTCAAAGTCTTCAAGTCTTAACATTCTTAACCTGTTTTGCTCTTCCCGATCTTTCTTGAACTTGGCCTGTCTTAGTCTTTTCCCAACTCGGAAACCAGATGTTGAGGTGAAATGTTGAACCCCGGCATTCAGAAAGCAAGGCTGCTCCCCACCTCAAGTGCATCTAGCCTTGCTGTCAATCTAGCATTGTCAGCCTGAAGTGCAAGCAATTCCGCAAGTATTATCAAAGACTTGAAATTCTTCGCGACACCCTCAAGTGTTCTCAATTGCATCCTTTTCTACTTCACCCGTTTCAAAATTCTGACACGTGCACCACTGTGGAGAACTGCATAACCCCTGGTTTCATTGCTGCGATCCTCCAGCCCGCGGATCCGGATGAAGTGCAAGTGCTCTCTCACCTGCTCACATCTCAAAGAAACACAAGTCTTGCGTCTCAGTTTCTGGCAGAACCCTAAGCTACAGCCTTGACAGCGGTTTATTGCATTGCCAAGCAAATCCAAGCAATATGAAGCCTCTATGATGCACTCATCCGAGCCAGCGTTTGTCAAGGCGCGCTGCAAATCCTGAACAAAAAGTCCAATTTCTCTGAAACTGAAACAGCTGAAACTAGTCCGAAATAGTCCGAATATGTCTTTCAAAGATGTTCAAAGAGTCTTATTTCAACTTATTTCTCTCAACAAAGTCATACTGATTTGATATCATTGCAGAAACCAACAAATAAACCAAAAAAATAAACCAAGAAATGGTCGTTTTGAGACTGGTCTGCAAAATGGTATCAGCACATTGCATCGTGGACAAATAGTGGGCTCACCGCAGGGGTCGAGATCTTGCCAAAGGTGTCGTAAAAGTCATAGGAGCCTCATATTGGGACGTCGGACAATACTCATTGTACAATGCATTACAATTAATATATTTTAATACAATTACAATAAAATCAATACTGTATGGGACAATCATTCACATATCATTCACATTGCATTGGATTGCACACATCCTAAGCTGTCAAATGTATCTAATGTCATACATCTGCTGCACTGGGCCTGGTGGCAGCCCTAGTTTCTCTTCTGCATCCTCAGATTCAAAATTCAGACTTGGCCATCTTTGCAATCTAGCTGAATCTAGCTACCCGCTTAAGCCTTTGCTCTGACAGTACCAGCACAACAGCTTCAGTTCACCCTGAGCCGCTCCTGAAAGAAGGCTTCGAGGTTCTTGATGGACCGAACAGCCTCACAACCGACACAGAGATGCCGACTGAGGTGCAAATAGACAAAGTATATCAAAGTATGACAAAGTATGACAAAGTGACAAAGTGACAAAGTGACAAAGTGATAGTCTACTTCTGAATGCTCAGTGATAGGAAAGAAAAGCAGAAATGACGATAGAAAATCCAAGTAGATGATGTTCAAACATGTTCAAAATCTTCGAAAGCTGCTTGACAAATCTTGACAAGGTTATTCCAAAAGATACCTCGCACCCGAGAAGCCTCCGCTCCAGATCCCCTAGATATGACCTTGGAGCACACAGAGCACATGGAGCACAGGGTGCTCATCTCCTGTCCCTGTGAATATTCCGTGAATCTGAATCATTCTGTGAATCATTTGGAATTCAAATCTGTGATTCTGTCTGATGAGTTCCTGGCCCGCTTATCACCATAAGAAAATACCAAGGTGTGCGACATCCTGATACCACAACTTCCCACAATTTCCAGTGAATTTCCAATGACACAGGTCATCTGATGTCAACTTCGTAGTTCATATGGTTTCAATTCATTCTCAATTCATTTTTAATTCATTTCATACATCAGTCATCTTGACTCAGCATATCTCCTGGCCTCTAAAATCAGCCCAGTGCAGGCTCTGGCCTTCGCAAATGCTGAGCCAAGATGCCAGCGGCCAAGCGGCGAGCCAAGCGTTTCAAAAGCTGCAGTGTCCTCTGTCACTCCTGTTTTCGTTCCTCGATGCTTCTCGTTCCATGTCTCGTTCCATTTCTCAACATAACTGAGACAGACCACGAATGAAATGCGAATTTCATTTCACGTGAATGTAAATGGGTAACAAATTTTCTGAAAGAATACATAAGGAGACAGGTCTTGTGATGCTTTTTAGCCATCTGACTAAACATACTTCATCATTCAACTTGCATTTCATCTGATGTTTGAGAATTATCTTTTTAAACACACAAAGTTTCAAAGAGTCAACGCATATTTTGGCTCTATGTGCTCTTCCGCAGCAGGTCAGCCAGAAAGTTCCGCATCGCACACTATGGTTCCTGTGTGCGCACATGCATTTTACCTCTTTGTGTCTTAACTGGACCCAGACCTTTGTCAAGACTATGGGGCAATGACTGAATGAATAGCTATATACATGTGCCGATTCATTCATGTCAAAATATGATATGTCACTGACTGTTCTATATACAACATCATGTCATAACCCGGTACAAATAGCATGATGTAATATATAAAATGTATATAATGTATATATATATAATGTGTATATGTGATTCTATGATATTCTATGTGTATATTACATGTTTTTATAACTACCAATATTTTGACGTTGGCGGAACTCGTTGAACAGGTTGTCGAGACATGTCGAGACTGTGCTCCTCTCAGAGCTCAGTCAGTGAGCGACGCCGTCCACCCAAACGTATTTGCCTTGGCGAATGCGAAGCAACTGCCAAGTGACAGTGCACTACATGCCACTTTCAAGTTTCAACTGTGCCAATGCATCAAATTGAATATATCAACGTAGTTGAAACTTCAAACTTGTGGGAAAGTTGCCGACTTGTTTCATTTGTATGTCATTATTTTCGTTTCATCCTCTCACTTGGTACTTATTCCACTCAGCTTCGTGCTCAAGAACTTTTTGTGGAAGTCGCTTCGAACCTCACCAGTGTCCAGGATTGTCAAGTCCGAAACAGGATGCAGTGCGGCAGTGCGAGACACAGCGCAGGATGCTTTGCAGGATGCTGCGCGGAGAAAAATCTTTCGAACGACTTCGTCACACCAACGTGTCAGGTCTTGATCTGAGTTGGCTGACAGCGTCATTGATGTATCGCTGCTTCACTTTCGGAGCAGTTCTTGCCTAGTTAAGCCAGAACTCAAAGGATGTTGGAATCTAAACAAATTGGATCTAAAAAGAACTGGTCCAGAGTTCTGTCTTTGCTGGTATGCAGTACACCCGGTATGCAGCCAGCTCTATTGCAGCTCCATTAGAGTATCTAAGTAAGTTCAGTAAATGGTGTTTCTAAGCATACAAAGGTTTTGAATTAAGTCAGACATTGTAGAAACGCGTCGGATGCCGCAGCCTGGTTCTTGAAGACTGTGTCATCATCCCATCGCCTAACGGAAGCACAACTGCAGCAGATCATGCAGGACATGTTGAAAATGCTTTCGTGCATCTTTCATGTGTGCGCGCGCATTGGAGTGGGACATTTCGAGAACTGCTTGAATAGAGCATGTAGACAAACACAATTACCTTGCTGCTGGACAAACCCCTGTCCTTTTCAGCGATACGTCTGCTCCATCTGCTAGAAGAGGGTTGCCTTTCATGACTTCTTCCTAAGTGGGGAATCAGGTGGTCTTTCGCAAATCCAAGACACATTCACTTTGTTCCTCTCTGAGTCATTTGTGACTAGAGCAGGACTTATTCGGCTTGACAATACCTGATTCTTTTGATAGTATCCTTCAAGAATCATTGATAGAATCAAGCCATTCAGAATATTCAGAATTGCAGAAGTATTGTTAAAATTGCAGAAGTTTCGCATCAAGTTCCAGACCCTTTGTGCTCTCCTGTCTTGCTTTGCCTGAAGAGCCTCGCAAGAAACCCTGGAAGGCACAAAGCTGACAGACGCCAAGATTATTGAACCAACACAGATGGAAAAATAATACAACTACAGAAACCGATAGAAAACCATGCGATGAAAAACAAGTTTTTTGAAAACTCGAAGTTTCGCCAAAAGGGCCAGGCCTTCTTCGCCTCTTCTTCTTCCTCTCGCTCTTTCTTGATCTTTGCAAGTTCACGCATAAGTTCCTTGCAGATCAGTTCATAGCAAGAGAAAACGCAACTCTGGTTCTGATCCAAAGTGGCAAACCTTCAGAATGTTGAAATGAACGAAATGAATGAAATGAATGAAAGAAATGAAATGAATGAAATGAATGAAATAAAAGTCAAGGCAAGAGCAACTTGAAACCTGGAATCACCAAACTCAGCGTGATCCAATGTAGACAGGAATCTTCAGCATCGTCGTCATCATCATCATCGTCTGGTCGGGCATAACAGCTTTCGAGACCAGATTCACGACTTGACTCAGAACAAATGTTTTAGACAACGTACTTCCACGCATCACCATAAAGTCTGAGATGTCTTGAAGCGCTCACAAATGCACACAGAGTTTGATCTCACAGTTTTCATATAAGAACCTAAGAACTAACCTAAGTGAGTCACCGTCGTGGTCAGTCTAAGTCTAAGTTGCACACCATCCTCTTCATCCTTCTTTTCCTAGCACAAGGTCTTCCCGCAGATCTTTAACATCACATCAATCACAAAAAGAGCTGAACAATGAGCCAGTTCCATCCTCCTCCTCGCTCAGCAACTCTTCGTCCGCATCCTAAGGCAAGTCTTCAGGTGACCCGGAAATGAAAGGGACACTGATGAACGAACTGATAGTTGCTGATAGTTACTGAAAGTTGTTGTATCACGATGATATCATTAAAAATTGTTTAAAAGAAAAAACCAGATGCAGCCCACGAACCCGAATGCAGTCACGTAGAACACTTTCGTGAAACAAGTTATTTGAATGGTCTACATTTTTTCCCTGTTACCAAACCCACTGTAGACTGAGGAATGTGGAAGAGGGTGGAGTGCAAAGTGTGGGGTGTGGAGTGTAAAGTGTAAAGTTGGACTGTGGAGTGTACAGGGTACATTGTGGAGTGTAAAGTGTTAAGTGAAAAGTGTAAAGTGTGGAGTGTGGAGTGCAAAGTGTGCAGTGTACAGGGTGCAGTGTGGAGTGCAAGAAGTGTAAAGTGTAAAGTGTGGAGTGTGGAGTATAGAGTGTGGAGTGTAAAGTGTAGAGTGTGGACTGTAAAGTGCAGAGTGTGGAGTGTAGAGTGTGGAGCTTAAATTGTAGAGTGTGGAGCGTGGAGTGTAAAGTGTGGAGTGTGGAGTGTGGCGTGTAGAGTCTAGAGTGTGAAGTGTAGAGTGTGGAGTGCAAAGTGCAGAGTGTGAGTGCGGAGTGTAGAGTGTAGAGTGTAGAGTGTGAAGTGTAAAGTGTGGAGTGTAAAGTGCGGAGTGTGGAGTGTAGAGTGTAAAGTGTGGAGTGTAAAGTGTAAAATGTAAAGTGTGGAGTGCGGACTGTAGAGTGTGAAGTGCGGAGTGTAGAGTGTCGAGTGTAGTGTGTGGAGTGCGGAGTGTAAAGTGTAAAGTGTGGAGTGTAAAGTGTGGACTGTGGAGTGTAGAGTTTGGAGTGTGGAGTGTAAAGTGTGGACTGTGGAGTGTAGAGTGCGAGGTGAAAAATTGTAAAGTGTGGAGTGTAAAGCGTAAGGTGTGGAGTGTAAAGTGTAAAGTTTAAAGTATGGAGTGTGGAGTGTGAAGTGTGGAGTGCAAAGTGTAAAGTGCAAAGTGTGGAGTGCGAATTGTAAAGAGTCTGAGTAGAGTGTGGGGTGCGGAGTGTGAAGTGTGAAGTGTGGAGTGTAGAGTGTGGAGTGTACAGTGTACAGTGTGAAATGTAAAGGGTAGAGTGCAAAGTGTGGAATGTAAAGTGTGGAGCGTAAAGTGTAAAGTGTGGAGTGTGGACCGTAGAGTGTGAAGTGTGGAGTGTAGAGTGTGGAGTGTAGAGTGTGGAGTGTAAAGTGTAAAGTGTGGAGTGTAAAGTGTGGAGTGTAAAGTGTGGAGTGAGGAGTGAGGAGTGTCAAGTGTAGAGTGTGTAGTGTGAAGTGTGGAGTGTAAAGTGTAAAGTGTGGAGTGTGGAGTGTGGAGTGTAAGGTGTGGAGTGTAAAGTGAGTGTAGAGTGTGGAGTGCAAAGTGTAAAGTGCAAAGTGCAAAGTGTGGATTGTGGGGTGTAAAGTGTGGAGTGCACAGTGTAAAGTGTAAAGTGCGGAGTGTACAGTGTAATGTGTGGAGTGTGGAGTGTGGAGTGTAAAGTGTAGAGTGCACAGTGTAAAGTGTAAAGTGCGGAGTGTACAGTGTAATGTGTGGAGTGTGGAGTGTGGAGTGTAAAGTGTAGAGTGTAGAGTGTGGAGTGTGGAGTGTACAGTGTGAAGTGTAGAGTGTGGAGTGTAAAGTGTGGAGTGTCGAGTGTAGAGTGTGGAGTGTAAAGTGTAAAGTGTAAAGTGGGGAGTGCGTTGTGTAGAGTGAGGAGTGTAAGGTGCGGAGCGTAAAGTGTAGCGTGGGGAGTGTGGAGTGTAAAGTGGGGAGTGGCGTGTGTAGAGTGAGCAGTGTGAGGTGCGGAGCGTAAAGTGTAGAGTGTGGAGTGTAAAGTGTAAAGTGTGGAGTGTGGAGTCTAAAGCGTGGAGTGTAAAGCGTAAAGTGTGGAGCGCGCCTGCCACGAAAACTGCATCTCATCTTCTGCGCCTGCCACACAAAACGACTTTCGACACGTTATCAAACAGGTATGTCAAAAAGCGCCACGCCTGCCACACAAAACGACATAACAACCTGCTTTGACACGTTCGAAAAGGAAAGGTTTTGCAGCTTCCCTCATAGACACGGCGAGGACGAGACACGTGGGAGCATCAAAACGAGCATTTCGTGGGAGACTTCCTCCAATTTTCACACTTTGTAGCTTCAAAATCGATATTTTCCTACGAGTTTTCTTATGAACCTCTAAATTTGCTACCCCAAAATCGATGTTTCGTGCGAGGCTTCCGTCAATTTTCATCACATCTCACAAAACGCCACGCCTGCCACGCAATTCGCTTGTCGCCATTTGACGCAGCCCTGACAATAAGATTCGCAAAAAACACGCAACACGACGTCTAAAGTCTAAAGTGCTGCGCCTGCCACGCAAAATGACGACGGGCACTGCAACTCATCTTGCGAAAACGTCGCAAAAGTATTGCGCCTGCCACACGAAACGAAGCAACGCGACGCTTGAAACCTCCAAAAATGACCCCTTTTGCAGAACTTACCATAGGCACGGCCATACGGCCCTCAAGCGGACGGTTGCGGACGGTTGGGGACGGTTGCGAACGGTTGCGAACGGTTGTGAACGTAAACGCAACGTCGAGCGAACACAAACGGGAACCCTTGCTACGCATTCGGGAACAAAGCGTACTAATTCGTTCCTCGCTGTTTCGAATTGTGTTTTCGTTTTCATGTTCCAGGCCTCCGGGAATGGATTGTCCTCTAGAGAGGGCTTCTTTTTCTCCTCAGCACTCAAAGAACTCATACAAAAAAGAAAGACGCTGCCGACGCTTCCCAACACACTGTGAATGCCGACCCAGAAAGACCATGGACCTCCAACTGCCATGGGAACGGAGTCCTTGACCTTCCCTTCACGTTCATCTTTTGCAGCCCTTTCTCGTCTCTCCAAATCCTGGTCAAAATTCGACAAGGTGCAGTCCAGCGCTCCAAAAACGAACCAAAACGAAACAAGACTGAACAAAACCATCTAAAACCATCTAAAACCATCTAAAAACCATCTAAAACAATCAAAATGGATCGAAATGGGGCTAGCTAAATGGCTTTGCCAAATGGCTTTGCCTAGCTTTGCTCTGGTTGTTTTTTGCTCTGATCCCATGCCTCCGTCATGTCCGCTCGGGATGCGCGCTCCTCGAGCAGGCCCTGTCCAGCCTGGATAAAGACAAAAAACGGCTCTCCGGGGCGCTGGGGGCTTAAATTAACTTGTTTTTAAGTTTTTAGTTTTCGCAAGTTATCTTAAAAGTTTGTTCCAAGCATGTGTTTTTCTGTTCAACAGAACAACAAACAAACATGTAAAAAACATGTAAAAAACGTTTTGAAACCGTTGATTCTTTGGATCGAACTCTCACCATCTCCCATCTTTTATTGTGGGCTCTGAACCTTTGCCAACTCAACTTCGTACTCTTCGTTTGTACTTGATTTATCCTGGGATTTTGCAACCTCACTTGGACTCTGGCAAGCCCGAAGTACTGCAATCTGAAACAGAAATGGTCCTTACTGGTACCGCAAAAAAAATAACTGAATAGCTGAATGAGGGTTCTGTATCGTGGACCCCGGTTCTGACAGTCACCTAAGTAGAGGCTTGGATGGGCTATCCCGGCCACAGCCACAGCATGCCACGCCCCATCCTGTCTGAACTTCATCTTCTTGAAGGTGGCAGCATCGCGGTTGTTGATCTGAGGCACTTACAGTTCCACATCAAAACTCATCTCGCTGGTAGCAAAGCAGAATGCGCGCAACAGACTCACAACAGAATGCCACGTGAAGAACGCCTTTGTTGTGTGGGCAACCAGCATGTTCCCTCCTCAGGGTCAAAGAGGTTTGAGAGAATGGATCTGGTCCCAAACACCAAGGTACTGCTTTTCTGCGATGTTGAGCTAACTGCACTACATATCATTACAATTCACTACATATCTAAACATATTTGAACATATCTATAGAACATATCTAAACCTTTGTGATTGGTTTATGATCATGCAAATGACCCTGTTTTGGCACAACTTGCAGCTCTTCGATCCAAAGCTACCTGGGTTGCTGTTGCTTGCGATGGCCGCATTCCTGAGTCACATCTTCAAAGGGTCCAGTCTATGAGACTCATTGAGTCATCGAGAGAAAACATGTCTCGACGTTTGGGCAGAATCTTTCTGAGGTACAACTTGCCTGAGGCTCTCTCTGTGCGCCAATTCTAGGTATCCGCACCATGTCGGTCTGTGCGCTGTCGTCATGGCTAAGTATCCGTAGGGCCTGTTTTGGCCACTTCAAGAGATTTGGAGCCAGGGCCCCAGAAGGCCCAGAAGGCCCTCTATAGGCACTGGTGCAAAACAAGAGCAGGCTCTGCAGCTTGAGCAGTTATGGAAGGCAATCCACTGAACTCCTGTTCAAACACAGTCAAACAAACACCATCCTTGTTCAACGGTTTTCAAGACAGAAAGCTAAGAGCTCATACGAAGCCGAAAACCTTCAACAATCTGAAACATCGCATGCTTGCAGATGATTGTCTGCTGTGGAAGTGTGGAAGCCAAAGTTTCTGATACCTGTATCAGCAGTTGTGTGATTTGAAATTAGACTGACAAATGCTTTTTGCGTTTCGGAATTTCGGAACCTGATATAGCCTGGTATTCAGGCCAGGTATTCTTTGCTTGTGGAATGTTTCCACAAGAGGTCCACAGGTTCTGACTCAGCCAAGCCCGAATAGTTCTTTTTCAAGGAATAAATAAGACTTGCTAGGAGTTAAAAGAGGCCATACAGAGATTCCACAAATGGGCCAGAAAGAGATTTGAAACAGATTTGAAACGGCTATTTCTTTTCACAGGCTGTCCATGCTTAATTTGTTTGTTTTTGTGAACTAGAAACAGACACGAACTGACCGAACTGCACTAGGTACAAAGACGCGAGCAAGGCAAAGCTTCAATGTCCAAAGGATTCATAGGAAGGATACATGACCACATGGCGAACTAGAAATGTTGCACTGTGCAGCGGTTCCAACCAAAATCAAATGTATGGCAAATCATGACAAATCAAAACATACTTAGCCAAGAGGTAACTAATCCGTGGAGAGATGTGGAGAGTATGTATGTAATCTGTGCATCTTCCAGCGGATTTCATAAAGCACTTTCATCATCTTTCATCGAGAGGTTCCAGATGGTTCCAGTGGATGTCGTACTGAGTCATACTCTTCGTTCAGCCATTCATCACTTCATGAAGAAGCTGCGCCTGTCATGTGACACCACTTCTGTTTCGAAGATGGAAAGATGAAGGAACTGCAAAACAATGTTCAAGACAAGATGTAGCTCTGACGAATTGTGAGGACCTTTTACAAAAGAGTAGGCTGAGTAGACAAACTTTCAGGAGGCACATGCGTTTGCAAATTAAGCACCGGCATAAGAAGCATTGATTGGTGTCACATAGATAGAATTCATTAGACCTAATCAGAAAGGCATGGGACACAGTGAGACACAGTGAGACACAGAAAGAATCTCCTCGAAAATGGCTTCACGGTAGCCCAAACGAGGCACCTTATGGAGGACACGAGATGTGTTGAAACTGTTAAGATACTGTTGAAATACTGTTGAAGTGTTCGAAAGACAGAGCAAATATGGTCAAATCATGCAAAGATTGCAAATGCTTGTCATATATATATATATATATATATGTTTGAATTCCAACCAGCACTTCTGAATGGTCTTGGCAATCAATCGAGACAAACTTAACTTGAATGTTGCGGTACAAGTCCTGACACATTCCAGACACACTTAAAGCCTTTGCTTGCTTGAATTGTTCGAGTTCCACACATCCGGAAGCGTAAATGACGCATTCCTTCAGTTCAGGAATTCAAACGGCGAAGCAAAGCAAAAAAATATCAAAAAATGAAAATGTGCAAAGCACACTACAACAGAAAGCAAGGCTGTAGCATGCTGAGGACCAAACGCAACAGTCTCATCGCGAAAGCAGTAGTCACCCGGTTCCCAACCCCAGACGTGCACCTCGGGCACTTTTGAGCACAATCTCGCTGAGCAGTATGCGGTACAATTCACCAGATCAATGCAGTGTACAATCTAAATACATCTGAATACAGTGTACAAATGTGTACAAATGTGTACAGTGCTGTACAAGACAACGGTGACAACGGTCACATGTCACCAAACTCTCGCCTGCTTCCCAGCCCTGTGAGCTCTTGCACAAAGGCCACCCAAAGGACGCACCTGGCAACTTTCAAATGGTTGCACCGACGGTCCAAACTTGGACCTTTGAAGAGAGCACGGCTGAGCACGGCCGAGAGTACCGTTTGGACAGAAGGTATCGTTTGCCAAATTGCGCGCAGCCGCAGTGATTTTCACAATTTTTCACAGCATTTGTCGGAAACTTGTTCTGTCCAGATGGTCCCAGCCTCGGGCGTTCCAAGCTTTGCTTTGCCCAGAGCGCCGAGGGCTTTTCCGTCCTTCTGTTCGTCGAGAATTACGTGGAGCTCCCTCAGACCAGGACAGGAGCAGTGACACAGCGATGACACTGAAAAGATCTGAAGAGCGTTTGTCAACGCTGAATCCAACGCCTATGGAAAATGCATTTGTCTGGCAACCCAATGCAGGTAGTTAAAGCAAATCCTCCGAAAAAAGAATTGGCTGAACAAAAACTAGCTGACAGCCTGCAGAACGGAAAGCTATCTGAAAGGATTGCATGCAACGACCAGTGAGAAACAAGGTGGGCCAGAGAACCCAAAAGCAAGACGGCACACAGCACGCCTTTTCTTGAAAATCTTGGGGTGTGGCCAGCTGTGCTCTGCACGAAATCGACGTAAGATCTTTACTTAAACATCGTGCGCACTGATGGTATCAGGGGCCACGATTCACCACAGCATGCTGTGTCAGCTACGCCTACAGTCTTCTAGTCGCTATTTCTGTTAATGTAATTAACTCTATCCCATCTGTCTAGTCGCTATCTATTTCTGCGTTCTCGTTTAGTTTGCTTCGCCGCAGAGGGAGCGAGCACGAAGCGTGGACGGACAGAACGAAATGAAAATTAAACGACAGAGGGAGCTGACCAAAAGAGCATGAAAACGAAGATATATATGAAGGTGACAGATGGCAAATGATCATGAAAAATGAGACATGATAAAAGATGGGTAAAGACTTCTCTGTACAAAAGTTTCTTTGCATAAAAGCTTCTGCAAGTAAAAGCTTCTGTGGGCAAGAACTTCTCTGTGTAAAGGTTTTTGGTGTAAAAGTTCTTGTGTGTAAAATCTTCTGTGTAAAACGCGCTCTGTGTGTAAAAGTTTCTGTTTGCGAAAGTTTCTTTGCGTGCCAGCTTCTGTCTGTAAAAGTTCCTCTGTGTTAAGGTTTTGTTTGTGTAAAGCTTCTGTGTGCAAAAGCTTCTCTGTGTAAAAGACTTCTCTGTGTCAAAGCCTCTGAGTGTACAAGCTTCTCTGTGTAAAAGTTCCTCTGTGTAAAAGCTCCTCTGTGAAAAAGCCGCTCTGTGTAAAAGGCTTCTGTGTGTAAAAGCCTCTGTGTGTGCAAGCTTCTCTGTGTCAAGACTTCTTTGTGTAAAGATTTCTCTGTGTAAAAACTACTCTGTGTAAACGCTTCCGTGTAAACTCTTTCCTGTGTAAACGCCTCCGTGTGTAAAGACTTCTCTGTGTAAACCCGTCTGTGTGTAAAAGCTCCTTTGTTTAAAGGTTTTTTTGTGTTAAAAGCTTCTGTGTGTAAAACCTTCGTAAAAGTTTCTGTGTGTAAAAGCTTCTGTGTGTAAAGGTTTCTGTGTGTAAAAGCTTCTGTGTATTAAAAAAACCTTATGTAAAAGCTTCTGTGTAAAAAAGCCCCCTGTGTGTACAAGCTTCGCTGCGTAAAAGCTGCTCTGTGTAAAAAATCTGTGCGCCGTAAAGTTGTCTGTTTGTAAAACCTCCTGTGTGTGTGTGAAAGCGTCTGTGTGTACAAGATTCTGTGTGCAAAAGCTCCTCTGTGCAAAGACTTCTTTCTGTGTACAAAGCTTCTGTGTGTGAAAGTTTCTGTGTGTAAAAGCTTTCCTGTGTAAAAGTTTTCTTGTGCAAAAGCTCCTGTGTGAAAAACTTCTCTGTGTAAAGGCTTTTTTGTGTAAAAGCTTCTGTGTGTACAAGCTGCTCTGTGTTAAAGTTTCTGTGCGCCGAAAGAACGTCTATCTGTAACACCTTCTGCGTGTAAATCTCGTTTGTGTAAGGACTTCTCTCGTAAAAGCTCCTCTGTGTCAAGACTTCTTTGTGCGAAAGGCTTCTCTCTGTAAAAGCCTTTGTGTGTACAGGCTTCTCTGTCTCAAGACTTCTCTGTGTAAAGACTTCTGTGTGTAAAAGCTACTCTGTGCAAAAAAGCTTCTGTGCGTAAAGGCTTCTGTGTCAAGACTCCTCTGTGTCTCTGTAAACGCGTCTGTGTGTCAAAGTTTCTGTGTAAAGGCTTTTTTTGTGTAAAAGCTTCTCTGTGCATGTCCCATTTTTCAGCCTTTGCAAACCGTTTGACCGGTCTTGGGACCATTTGACCAGTCTTGGGTCCACAATTTTTTCAGGCCAATCGCAATGATGGCATTTGTCCTGAAAAAACCCGTGCCAACAGCTCTGCCGCAAACTATTTTCAAGGTTTCCTATCCGTCCAGCATGTTGTCTCGCTCCCTCCAGCGAAGCTCTCCGCAAGCTATTTCCACGGTTTTGTCCCGTCCAGCATGCTGTCTCGCTCCCTCCCAGCAAGGCTCTCCGCAAGCTATTTCCACGGTTTCCTCTCCGTCCAGCACGCTGTCTCGCTCCCTTCCAGCGAAGCTCTCCGCTAGCTATTTCCACGGTTTCCTGTCCATCCAGCATGCTGTCTCCCTCCCTCCCAGCGACGCTCTCCGCAACCTATTTGCACGGTTTCCTCTCCGTCCAGCATGCTGTCTCGCTCCCTCCCAGCAAGGCTCTCCGCAAGCTATTTCCACGGTTTCCTCTCCGTCCAGCATGCTGTCTCGCTCCCTTCCAGCGAAGCTCTCCGCTAGCTATTTCCACGGTTTCCTGTCCATCCAGCATGCTGTCTCCCTCCCTCCCAGCGACGCTCTCCGCAACCTATTTGCACGGTTTCCTCTCCGTCCAGCACGCTGTCTCGCTCCCGCCCAGCGAAGCTCTCCGCAAGCTATTTGCACGGTTTCCTCTCCGTCCAGCATCCTATCTCGCTTCCTCCCGGCGAAGCTCTCCGCAACCTATTTGCACGGTTTCCTCTCCGTCCAGCATGCTGTCTCGCTCCCTCCCAGCGAAGCTCTCCTTAACCTATTTCCACGGCTTCCTCTCCGTCCAGGATGCTGTCTCGCTCCCTCCCAGCAAAGCTTTCCGCAAACTATTTGCACGGTTTCCTCTCCGTCCAGCATGCTATCTCGCTTCCTCCCGGCGAAGCTCTCCGCAACCTATTTGCACGGTTTCCTCTCCGTCCAGCATGCTGTCTCGCTCCCTCCCAGCGAAGCTCTCCGTAACCTATTTCCACGGTTTCCTCTCCGTCCAGCATGCTGTCTCGCTCCCTCCCAGCGAAGCTTTCCGCAAGCTGTCTCGCTCCCTCCCAGCTCGGCAAGCTATTTCCACGGTTTCCTATCCGTCCAGCATGTTATCTCGCTCCCTCCCAGCGAAACTCTCCGCAAGCTATTTTCACACTTTCCTCCGTGCAGCATGCTGTCTCCCTCCCTCCCAGTGAAGCTCTCCGCAACCTATTTGCACGGTTTCTTCTCCGTCCAACATGCTGTCTCGCTCCCTCCCAGCGGGCTTTCCCCAAGCTATTTCCACGGTTTCCTCTCCGTCCAGCATGCTGTCTCGCTCCCTCCCAGCGAAGCTCTCCGCAAGCTATTTGGACGGTTTCCTCTCCGTCCAGCATGCTATCTCGCTTCCTCCCAGCGAAGCTCTCCGAAACTATTTCCACGGTTTCCCATCCGCCCAGTTGTCTCGTTCCCTTCCAGCGAAGCTCCCCGCAAGCTATTTGCACGGTTTCCTCTCCGTCCAGCATGCTGTCTCATCCTCTCGCGCTTCCTCCCAGCAAAGCTCTCCGCAAGCTATTTCCACAGTTTTCGTCTCCGTGCAGCATGCTGTCTTGCTCCCCCCCAGCGAAGTTCCTCAAGCTATTTCCACGGCATCATCCCGTCCAGCATGCTGTCTCGCTCCCTTCAAGCGCAACTTTCCGCAAGCTATTTGCACGCTTTCTTCTCCGTCCAGCATGCTGTCTCGCTCCCTCCCACCGAAGTTTCCCCAAGCTATTTCCACGGTTTTGCCCCGTCCAGCATGCTGTCGCGCTTCCTCCCAGCACAGCTTTCCGTCCAGCATGCTGTCTCGCTCCCATCCAGCGCAGTTTCCCCAAGCTATTTTCCACGGTTTTGTCCCGTCCAGCATGCTGTCTCGCTCCCTCCCCGCGCAGTTTCCCGAACTATTTCCACGGTTTTGTCCCGTCCAGCATCCGGTCTCGCTCCCTCCCAGCGAAGTTTCCCCAAGCTATTTTCCACGGTTTTGTCCCGTCCAGCATGCTGTCTCGCTCCCTCCCCGCGCAGTTTCCCGAAGCTATTTCCACGGTTTTGTCCCGTCCAGCATCCGGTCTCGCTCCCTCCCAGCGAAGTTTCCCCAAGCTATTTTCCACGG